ACAGCACTAGTAAAAATTGTAAATGATCTATTATTATTCTCTGACCAAGAAAATGTGTCCTTGTTAGTCCTCCTCGATTTTAGTGCAGCATTTGACATGATAGACGACGCTATCTTACTAGATAGACTAGAAAACCTTGTAGGGGTAACAGGAATAGCTCTTTCCTGGTTCAGGTCCTATCTCACTGATCGCTATCAGTTTGTTTATATAAACGGTGAATCATCTGCCCTCGCAAAAGTAAAGTATGGTGTTCCACAAGGCTCTGTTTTAGGACCTGTATTATTCACATTATATATGCTACCACTGGGCACCATTATCAGTAAACATGGCATAAATTTCCACTGCTATGCTGATGACACTCAGTTATATTTAGCAAGCGACCCGGATGGTAAAATTAAACTTAGCAAGATTGAGGACTGTATAAAAGACATAAAAGACTGGATGTCGAGTAACTTTCTCCTTCTAAACTCGGACAAAACAGAGGTTCTGCTTCTTGGTCCAAAAGCAGCTAGAAACAAACTACTTTAACACTTAAACTTAACAATTTCTCAGTTGCATCAAGCTCATCTGTAAAAAACCTTGGTGTCATTATGGACCCTGATCTGTCCAGTTAAATTTCGCATTGATTATAAAATTCTCTTACTGACTTACAAAGCACTAAACAGACTCGCCCCTCAGTACCTGAGTGAACTTCTCTCCCATTCTGAACCATCACGCCTACTTAGATCACAAGGTGCTGGCTTACTATTAGTACCTAGAATTAATAAGGTTACGTCAGGGAGGAGAGCCTTCTCATACAAAGCCCCCCAGCTTTGGAATAGTCTTTCTGTTAATGTTCGGGACTCAGACACAGCCTCAGTGTTTAAGTCTAAGCTAAAAACTTACTTGTATAGTCAAGCCTTTGGTAATTAGTTTTCTCTGTCAGTTCTATACCTGCCAGAGTCTCCGCTGCTCTGCTAACACTGTAATTTGTGATCAATCACCCATTACAGAACTGACTCTCTGTGTGTTTTTTCTTTCTTTTCTTTGCCGAGTTGAACAGCTGCCCATCCTGTGCGTTCTGATGCTGCTGCCTCTTCTGCCTTGATCGGGTGCCACTGCTTGCCAGCCCTCTGGACCGGCTTACCACCATTGAGCCTCCTGCTGTCCAACGCCGTGCAAACCTCACCCTCACAACCTGACCCCACTGATGCTACTGCTGTTGCTGCATGAACTAATCAAAATTAATCATTTGAACTAATCAATCATTTAAACTAATCAAATTAATCAATCACCCATTACAGAACTGACTCTCTGTGTGTTTTTCCTTTCTTTCTTTTCTTTGCCGAGTTGAACAGTTGCCCATCCTGTGCGTCTGATGCTGCTGCCTCTTCTGCCTTGATTGGGTGCCACTGCTCGCCATGCAAACCTCACCCTCACAACCTGACCCCACTGATGCTGCTGCTGCATGAACTAAACTAATCAAATTAATCATTTGCTCCACCTCTTTTCCCTGTTTTTGTACTATAATACTTTATACTAACAATGTTTTACTATCCGGTGTCAACCAGAGGAGGATGGGTTCCCCTTCTGAGTCTTGGTTCCTCTCAAGGTTTCTTCCTGTTTCTCTTAGGGAGTTTTCCTTGCTACTGTCGCCACTGGCTTGCTCATGGGGGCTTGGGCCCGGATTTCTTTCTGTAATGCTGATTTCCTTGTAAAGCTGCTTTGTGACAACACCTGTTGTAAAAAGCGCTATATAAATAAACTTTGCTTGCTTGCTCGCTTGCTAATATTGTAGTGTTGTTTGCAGGTAACAGAACAACAATTAATCTTGAGGTTTATGAGAAATCAGTGAAGACAATCACTGACCAGCCATATCTAATCTCAGCACTTTCTTCTTAACTACTATAGAATCGTTAATACTTAATACATTGCTCTGTGTCAGTCACATGCTGTATGCTCATTGGTCTTTTCTATATGTTATACATTCTTCATATGTACATTACCTCTTGAGCAATTTTTTCAGTGTCAGATGTCGTTAAGTCTTTATTTGAAACCAGCTTGAGCTGTAGGCATATTGAAATCACTGCAGAGAACCAAGTCATGCATTAGAATATATTTAAATAAACATACAGGTATTGAAACACACACGTCCAAGAAAATTATATAAGAAAAAGTATCTAAAAAAGTATCTAAAGCAATTAGGTATTTCTCCATTAGACACCAACACAGTGGCAGTTGGAACAGAATAGCTTTTTTACTGTTATTAACACTTTACTTTCTACATATTTACATAGTTATTCTTCCTTCTTTGAAAAATAAGCTGCTTGTACCAATCCACTCATACCAGCGAACCACACACTAACACACTACCAACACGTTAATATCACTGCAGTGCTGAGAAAGATCCACTACTCAAATAATATCTCCTCTGTGGGGGTCCTAACCAACGAAGAACAGGGTGAAAGGGGGCTAACAAAGTATGTAGAGAAACAGACGGACTACAGTCTGTAATTGTAGAACTACAAAGTGTACCTAAATTGTCAGTGGTGCTCGTAAATAAAACAATGAGTGTAAATACAAGGAGGTATACTTAATGATTTGGCTGGTCGGTGTATATTGCATATCATGTACCTAACTGAAAAGTGAGGAGAATGTTAAACTAAACTAAGAAGTCTGAAGTGTGTGAACTCTAGTGCCCTCAGTTTGAGCTTACTCAAAAATGCAGTGTAATACTTTGACTTATAATTTTAAGTTTAGCTGACGTTTCATTTTTTACAGTGCACAGACAAACAAGGCACACCTAGGAACACTGAGAAGATTTGCTGAGACAGGCTGGGATATGAATGTAAGGGAATAACAGAGAAGACGACTAGACAAGGTCTGGCCACAAACTGTAATTTGATTTTTCACATTTCAAAAATGAAGCTTACTGAAATTAAAAAAGATAAAAAGTCCCTCTGCAACTTAAATATTGTCAAAATACACTATAGATGCCATAAAAGAAAGACACAATTTGTTTTTACATTTACACTTAGTATAGATTCATTTTTTACTAGAAAAGTAGTTTAAAATACCTGGTGAATTTGGATAAGGGGTCACAATGGGTGGTGGGATGATTCTTTCTGCAGAGATTAAAAAAAACGATGAAAAACTCTCACTGAAAACACTGAAATTGATCATTCAGACTGATACTGATGTCATTGATAATTTAAAATGCTTACTAGTGCACACTGATATCAACATAGCTTCACAGGACGCATCATTCCACTTCTCTGAAAAAAATACAAACAAAAGATATTATAAGAAATCTTTTTTAGAAGGAGCTCTTTTTAAGTGATGTACAGCAAAATCTAAGTCTGCACTATGGTGGAGCTCCACACACAACTGCATATATTTGCTCCTTTAGGTTTCAGTTTTACCCTCAGAGCCTCCGGTTGAGCCCCAGTAAACCAGAGTCAGAACTGTGCTGTGATGTGCTAAGCTAACTACTTCTGACCACTACTAACCAGTACCAGCTAAGCTATGCTAAACTGTTACTAGAACATCTCTGTGCACCATATTTGACAGTTTATTAGATATGTGGAACATACATTTGACACCACTGTCATTTTAAATGCCCACATCATTATCTATTGTAGATAAATGCTAACTGCACTGTACCAACCTCAAAAAACAATCCTTGCAAAAAGCAATCCTTCTTAAGTACATCAATATTATACCTGAAGTATATAAAAAATACCTAAAAGTTTTTATTTTATGTATTTTATAGAGACTTTTCTGCATTTTTGTAAATGTGTCTTTTTAAGGTTGAACATTTTAAATATTACTTTAGTATGTTGTAAGTAAATGCAAGTAAAGAAATGTGTACCTTATCATACTGAAGCATGCAGACAAATATATTTGTCATCAACTTATTTAAGTATATTTTAAAGCAATGATATTTAAAGTTTAATTAAGTACATTTTATTTACATTTTTGTTTGCAATCTAGTCAAATTAGCAATCAACTAGTAGGACTTGTAGTGGTAGTAGAACTTGTGCCTCAACATTAATTTAACTTCATTGTAACATAATTTAAAACAGAAAAGCACTTGTAGGCATAGAAGATGTATTTCAACATTACTTGTGTAAATGTATAAACAAGTTAAGTTTCCTCAGTTATTTCTAGTAACATATTTAAGTGTTTATGTAAAGGTTTTTATAAGAGTACACTTAAATACATGTATTTCAGTATATTTAGTGACATTGAAACATAATGCCTTTTTGTTGCAGTGCAACTTAGGTTGTTTGAAAAAAGCACTTAAAAGCTCAACTAAATGCATTTAAAATATATAATCAAAACTTCATAACAATTTAAATACACCCAAGTTGTCATGTGTTGTTCCAAAATAATACATTTAGAGGACAAAAATGATTAAATATGGTGTGTTTTTGCGCTGCTGCGAGTGGCCCTGTGAAGCCTAAAATAATTTATTTAAAGTCAGAGATGTCGGGTCGGATTTCACAGAAGTTTATTGGACCATGTCATACATCCTTAAATGTTATCCCCAAATCTTACATAGTGCAGCTTTAAGACAAAGAGTAGTATTTACACTAGACCCAATGAATTTGATCCTTAAGAAAGTCATTATCAAGAAACAAGAAACTTGTTTTAAACTAAAATTGTGTTATTACAAAAATGCATCTGTTACAGAAGTACAGAGCATCTCATATTCATTGCAGGTTAAACTGGCCACAACTATTGATATTTTTGCATTTGTCAGTGCGTACAAGTTCATTTCCCACAAGTTTGTTTTGGTTATAGCCCCATTTTGAAGATCACCTACCCCTGTACGTCACACAAAAACTTCAGTCTATGGCTGGATGTCAGTCAGACAGCCCTTTCCTGTCAAAGTAGGTGGGTCTTTGCCACAGTAAGCAACAAAACACACTGGACTCTGTGAAGATAAGCAGTCTGGCTTGTGTGACTAGCAGCTCAGTCATGCTGTGTGCCCAGTACTTTGAAAAGATGCAGCAGAGCTATGTGTGGAAGCCTGTTTTCTGTACAGTAATGAAATGTTGAATTATGATACCGTTATAATTCATCTGTAGACAGCGCTCTAAAGGAGTGTTTTTATCAGGTTGTCCAGGAGACCAGTTGGTGAAACTGAATTCCGACCCATCTGTCCACACCCACGCTCCCACCTGTAAAAGAAAAGTGTGAACGTAATGTAAAATTTAGATTAAAGATTAATGCACCACATACTTCAATGACTCAAATACAATTGAAACCAAGTTTCAAAGGATTCATGCAGAAATATTGAAGGTATATAACCTGTGCAGCGTCCATGCCACCTAACCATGTTGGTGAGTTTGATTTGGTTGCATTCAGCACTAAAGCCCGGATGAAAGTGTACTCTTCACTGCTGTGCACAGATGCAAGATGTCCTCCCATGGAAATACAGTTTTGCTACAAGAGATCAGAAAAAAGTAATAATGAACAGTCAGTTCCATAATTATTGGCACCTTGGTAAAGATGGGGTAAAAATGTCTTTGAGGATTAACTCCATCTCAAACTGAAAATATGAGAGGAATCTAACCTTAAATTTGCATTTAAAAAAAAATTAAACAAATTTAAAAATGTATATTCTATCAAAAAATATCTTTTTTTTAATCTTCTTAACAATACTACATAGGTGACAATTATTGGCATCCCTGCATCTATTTTGTACCACATCCTTTTGTCAACAAAACAGCAGTAAGTCTGCTAGTGAGTGTGGTCATCCTGTTTTACTGCGGTATAAATGTGAAGTGACACATAGTGACACTAAATTTTCATTAAGCTCTGTCTTAAAGTTCACACCTGTGGTTTTGTGTACTAGTGTGCACTTTCATGTGTTTCCAGTAAATGTCCACAAAAAGCACATACTAAAAATACCCTTTCCTGACTACAGCATAAAAGCTGTATTGTGTTAAGTATACATCCCACAGTTCATTGCATCAGTTTTGAAAACACTGGGGAAGAAAACTACCTGGAACAGGAACTACCTGTCCCACAAATATCTCATACCACTGTGAACTTAAACAAAATCACAAACCGCAAGTATGGCTGTTAGTCATTCATCAGCATATGTAAGAATTTGTTGACCTTCATAAATCAGGTAATCGCTATTATATATATATATATATATATATATATATATATATATATATATATATATATATATATAGCTACGATACATTGCACCACAGAAACAAGCTTTTCATATGGCCATCACAGTCTTCTGACCTAAACCCCACTTAAAACTTGTGGGCTGGGCTGAGGAGGAAAATCCAAAAGCGAGGATTTAAGACCCTGGAGAATCTGGTTCTGTATTTAGGAATGGTCTCAAATCCTTGCTCTGTATTCTCCAGTCTCATTAAGAATAATAGGAGTAGACTCTGGTATTGTAGTGCCCAAGACTAGCCTCGATACCATAAACTAATGGTCTCAGTCTTAAACTCATTTGGACTCAGTCTTGTCAAAATGTTCCACTTTTTTCAGAAATCAGTGAGGACAGAGATGCAAAAGAGAAAGAGAGAGAGGTAAATGAAAGAAAATCAGTTTGAAACCATCATTTAACTATCAACATGCATTTTCGGCTGAAAATAAACATACGTACTGACTTTTATAAGGACTGAATGTAGAATTAGTTGGGCAACACTTTACAATACTAGTCCACAAATAAGCATGTATTAATACTTAACTAATGCTTTCATCACAGTGAATTTATAAAGATATAAATAGTCATTAATAAAGGCAATTATTAAGTATTAACATTTTTCTAACTCCTTCTATTAATTAATACCATGACTTGATATATTATTTAAAACCCTTTCTATAATACATAATGTTTGTCCCTAAGAGCAAGAGGAAGAAACCTTGAGAGGAACCAAGACTCAGAAGGGGAACCCATCCTCCTCTGGTCGACACCAGATAGCAAACATTGTTAGTATAAGGTATTGTAGTACACAACAGGGAAAACAGGTGGAGCAATGGTTAAATTGATTAGTTTAGTTTATGCAGCAGCAGCAGCAGCAGCAGCAGCAGCATCAGGAGGGTCAGTTCGTGAGGGTGAGGTTTGCACAGCGTTTGTCAGCATGAAGCTCAGTGGTGGTCAAGCAGGTCCAGAGGGCGGGCGAGCAGTGGGCACCCGATCAAGGCAGGCGAGGCAACAGCATCAGACGCACAGGATGGGTAGCTGTTCAACTCAGCAAAGGTTAAACAAGTTTACCAAAATGCAATATTAAAGATTTTTTAAATTGTTTTGGGGCTGAGCTCAGATTGAAAAAAAATCACACAATGTGCTGTTTATTTATTTAATCAATAATGATGTGACAGGAAAAAAAGTGGGTATGTAATGATAAATTTGCAGATTTATGGCTTAACGTATTTATACATTATCCACATTATAGGCACATAACCAATGTCAAAAAAGGTACTAAACATGCTCAGAATATTAAAGAATGTATAATTTTGTATGTGTTGTGTAAATCATATACATGATATGTATATGTAAGTAATGATGATGTGCCCCACCAAGTAAAGTCATGGTGTAAATATATGTTAACACATCATGGGTAATACATTAATATATCATTAATTGAATGTTGACAGGATACAACAGCCATTGTCCATACTAGTGTCTGTGCTAATTCAATACTATCCAACCTTATTTACTGCCATTCTTTTGTTATGCCTTTTTCAGTTATTGCTTCTAATACTGAACTAAAATTTTCCCAAAGGCTAAAATCTCATTAATCAACAGTTAATAAGGTCGGAATGCTTTACACATTAGCACAAATGCTACTCATATCCAACAGAAAGGCGGTGCTGAAATTATGCCTGAACATAAATACCCTGTGGGCTATGTAGCCTTAGCGACGTGCACCGCACTGGGAAAATCAAAATAATACTTAAGGATAGACAGTATTAAAACACTCTGACCACCCGTTTTATAATTTTAGTCAATGTTTGTCTGACACGATTGTGGATCCTCCTGTCTTGCGCACGCCCAAGTGGGACAGAAAGGGTGGGGAAACCAGAGCTGGTTAATTTTTTTTCTCTACAAGTTCTCTGGAAGAAACAACAACAGTGGAAGCTCATTTCTGAGCCTGATCTCGCTAATACGCACTCAGAATCGCTTGAGATTAAACCCAAACAAAATGGTGACCGTACATTTAGGAGAAAAACATGTGGCATCTTTTTAAACACCTTCACAAAGACAGCGCTGAGCAAATTTCTTTGTTCACTGTGTTTCAACAGCGCGTTGATTTGACATGAAATGCATAATGTTAGTTAACTGGTATCGTTTTTTTCTTATATGATGCTCAGTTATCCTGCAAGACATTTAAAATTGTGTGTTTCAATAAATGGTCTCCACTGATAATTCTGTGTAGTGCTTTTCAGTCATTTTACTGATCAATAATTAACTTTATATATGCTGTAAGTTAATGATATATGGATGTATTAACTAATGATTTGTAAATGCATATTTACATCATGACTACTTGGCAGAGCATAATGAATTAATGATGAATTATTAGACAAGTTACATGATATATATATGTAATGACTAATGATTCACAGACATGTTAAGCAATGAATTGTATCATGTATCATTATCAAATGTTACTTGCTGTCTTTTTTCCTGGCACATTATTACTGATTAAGTAAATCAGCATTACAATTGGTTACTAGGCAATAATGTAGTTAACCAACATCATCACCTTTAGACATTGTGCATTATAGAAAGGGTCCTAATTAATATATTAAGTCATGGTATTAATTAACAGACTGAGTTAGAATTATGTTAATCATTAATGACTGCCTTTATTAATAATTATTCATATTTGATTCAGTTCTTTATTGACATATGCACTTCATTATTTCCTTATGTATTAAGTATTAGTCCATGAATTAATTTACTGTGATAAAAGCATTAGTTAAGTATTAATACATGCTTATTTGTGGGCCAGTAATGTAAAGTGTTACCATTAGTTGTTCTAGAGAAGGTTTTGACATCAATATAGAGATTATTATTTCATTTTAATAGTCTTTTGTGTGGCTGTGGTGGTGTAGTGACTTGTAGTTGCCTTTTTGACATTAGCTTTTATAACAGATGACCCTTTGTTTTCACTCAGGAATTCAGGGGTTTTACCTGGGTGGGTAATTGAACAATATAAAAAAAATGTATGCTGAAGGCTGATTTATTGTATTAGTTCAAATGTTTGACTACTTTCTTGAATTCAGATTAGATTTCATTTACATAGTCAACATGAGCAAGAGGAGAGGAGATATACAACACTTTTTGGTGCAAAAAAGAGTAAGTTGAAAATACAAGAGTTAGGACATAGAGATGAAAATGCAGCCTGTATTTCTGCTATTGTCATGTGATTTAATACTGAGCAGGATAGTATGGGTGATGGTGAATTGTTATATGCTGTTACATTAAGGGAGCAGAGGGAGGTCAGAATGGCACTCAGCAAACAGGAAGATGTCAGGAGGACAATGAGCTGACAGGACCTACTAATGAAGAGATGAGTCAGAAAGGATGCTTAAAGTTGAATGCCATCATACCAGTTATTTAGGCAAATATTACTTTCAGAAACTGAAGGGATGATCAACAGTTTTACCCTACTCTTCTTAACCAAAATGCTGGGACTTTTAATAAAGTTAACTACTGATAAGGCATTCCACATCATCTCCTTCAACATTCCACATCGTAGATCCTGAACTGGTCCCAATACCAAAATGATTGGATAAGATAGGACTCAGTCTATAGGCTCAAAAACTTAAGCTACAGTGACTCACTTTTCCATTAATTCAAAAAGTCTTGGGTCTTCACACTCGAACTAGCTGTGTCCTGGTCTTGACTGGACTCAGCTCTTGCAGTCTGGACTACAACACTAGTAGACGTATTGCTGTTATGTTGACAAAAGGATTGGTACAAAATAGATGCCAATAATTGTGACAGGGCTGCCAATGATTTGGATGTATTTTTGTTAAAAACAGATTTTTGATAATGGTTTTGTTTTCTTCAATTAAAGGTTAGATTTTTCTCATATTTTTGGGGTGAGATTGAAGTAATAATTCTTTTACCCATCTTTACCAAAGATGCCAATATTCAGAGGCTGACTGTGTATATTAATGCAGTTTTTACCTTGCATTTTTATTCATAGCTTATAAATAAACAGAAAAAACAATTAAATTCTAATAGAACAAATCTGTACCTCAGCATCATTCCAGTTTGTGGTTGCTGTGAAGATCCTGAAACAGTGAGATCCAAACTGCGACCAGCCATCCTGGCACTCTGTATTACTAGCTCAATTAATGATAATAGTTGCGCTGATTGTTCAAATTTATCTGTTTCTCACAAGTACTAAGTCTGTCTTTGTACTTGCTTTTTAACTTTACACAGAAAGTGATTTTCCCTTTTGCCCATTCATAAAACTGGGCAACAAGTTACCTTCATTTAAAATTAAGGTCCTGTTTTCATGATGAAAAATGCACTGTCCTAGTGCTACAAGTGGAATATAAATGGGATGGTGTGGTGATTAACCCTTGAAAATCTCAGACCTAATAAATATGTCATAGGTCTTATTATCTGAACTTCGTTCAAAACAATGCAGACTGGCTAAGTTATTCTTAAATTATAGAAGTTTGAAATGGAAGCTTGGATCCATTGGAGGTTCTGGACAGTTAAGAAGTTAATTCATATCTTTTCAATCAATCATAGTTGCTGGCTCATACCTTTTAACCATTGGCTAAACAATCTTGGCAGTTCAATAAGCTGTATATGAAAGAAGATCTAAAGTGAGCGAATATTTTAGTCATCACCAAGTGCCTCATTTATAAAACTCTTCATGGATTCCAGAGTGAAAGTGTTTGTCCAAAAAAATGAGTGAATTGCATACACACTAAAATATTCAAATTTGTAGGTTATTGTTAGCTTTACACCTCTCTTGCGATACCTTATATACACCTGGTAAGGGTGGTGGTAATATGTATAAGCCTCAAATTAAATAAATTGTTAAGTTATATTATAAAGGATGAAAGTTCTGAAACAGTTAGTAGCCGACTACTGTCATAGCTACGTGTGACGCTACAGAATGAATCAGAAGCATATGGATAAAAAGGCAAATGAGGCTTTACTTGTTGAATCGCTTTCCAGAATCACATGACAAGTCTTATGTTTTCATGAAAATATCAGTATCTTATCTTACGCTACCTCTTTTACATAGACTTCCTGTTTCTTTGTGCCAACAGTCCCACCTTCAAACTTTCATGAAAATACCAATATATCATAGTGCTATTCATAAAATGAAGCAAAAATCTTTACATACACATGAAAACAGAACCTTTTATTAAGCACATGCTATTTTTACAATGGCAAACATTTTTTTAAAAATCTCTGGATTCTATCAAGTAAACTTTATTGTCCATCTCATGGCATCTCAGGTCACATCATGTTAGCTTTGTGTAATGGGGAGTACATTTTGTCTTGACTAAGGAAAGCAAAATGAACTTACGACTGAGCGTGAAGGGAAGGGTGAAGAGTCCTGTTAGAAAAATATTGCATATTAAAATTCAGTTTTGACAGACCTACCTGTACATCTCTCATGTGACATTTTGATACATCCCTCCAGCTCATGCCGATTCCATTAGGAATTTAGAGAACCCTGAGAATGTCATGCTGTGCCCCTTGCCTCACCTCATTTGCCTATTACAACATTAAAATGTGGCAGGTGCCCAGAATAACCCTACTTCATTATAGCTCCATAATTCCAACTTATACTTTTACCACACTCCCATCTCCACCATTCAGCAAGCTGTGAATATGAATACAAGCAACATGACTGCATTCCAGCGTACTGTGTTTAACTGATTGAAATTCTCTACAAACATACTCAGCATACTGACAAACATCAAGCTATAGGTCATGAAATTCTGTTGTGGAATAATGAAGATATTCTGGTTTTAATTCATGGTTTACCCAGGCTGAAAGATAGAAGGGGAGGCTAGAGAGTAATTTTAGCATACATAGCAGACTCTGGACCACTGTCTACTTCACATTTTTGTTCACTTTTTTCTTCACTTTCGAGGAAAACTTGTGCATTTCAGTGGTCGAGAGAACATCTTAACACAAAAACTGAGGGTACGTTGTTGTATTCATTTATTTTTTCTTCTTGATAGTTTAAAAGCCTTATTTGTGTTTTATAGTGGCATTCATTCGAATTTAAAACACTTTTCTTTTGCCACTGTCCCTACAACTAGTCTTTAAGTATCATTCAATGAATAAAGCCTGTCAATTAAGAATATTTTGGTAAGTCTTAAAACCGCACACCAAAAAAGTACAATCTTTGGGGGTTCCTGTTTCTTCTGGGCTCTTAGAATCATCCTAATCTTCCTGTTCAGAAACATATGCACTATTTTACCAAACACACCATAGATAATCAAGCTAAACCAAGCGACTTTTGCCCAGTCTAAATCTCTGGCCTTTTCTGGACTTGCAGACTCCTAAACATAACATTAAGTGAGTCAGCAGGGCTGTAGGGGTTTGTGTCTAATTCTGCTATAACTCTAGCCCACAAGCAGGATCATGTGGGCTTTTAGCCTTAATAAACTGACTCCATAACTACACCCCTCCACCTCGCACTCTGTTACAGCATGCAATGCATTCAGTTCAGAAATGTATAGACTATTTGACCAAACATGTCATTGTGGACAGTTGAGCTGTAATAGATTTATAACTAACTGACGGAAGTTAAAATATTTGTAAAATGTAATAGAATATAGTAAATGTCAATTTTACTGACCTGACAACAGCAGAAGGAACAGCATGGCTAAAACCTTATCTAAAGAGAACATACTTTAATTAGATGTTGTTACCACAAAATTGAGATTTGTTTTTAAATGTAGAAATTTTTGCCCATCTTTATTCAGGGTGCCAATAATTCCAGAGGGCATTATTCTGTCCATGATTTACATGTACAAAATAACCTGACAATTACATCAGATTTTGGCAATATTTCATTCAAATAATATGTTTCGAAGCACTTAAGCAATCTTATAATGGAAACAACTCTGGGTCTACATGAATCAGAATCAGATTTCTTTCTATATACATGAAGTATTCACTGTTACTGTAGCTTTGCAGCCTGCCCAAAAATACATCAAAGAAGAAGCATGTTATGTAAAAGGCATGTGATGTCACATTTTTTTCTTTTTACTGGGTTGCTGATGAATATTTATTAGAGAGTTTTGGTCCCAAATTTCATAAATGCTTTAATTTGTCACTGTTAGGGTTGGGCGATGTCTACCTAACTGGCATATGACAATGTCTACTGGGAAAAATTGCGATGGCTGATGACATCGGCAGGGGGTGTCATTCACATTTTAGCAAGGATCATGATGCTCGTTTAACATTGTGGTGCCTATCAGCCATTAACGATGGACAATGGCATCATCTGTCGGCACAACCCTAGTCACCATATGGCTTTAATCTGATATTAAAAATTGCTATAAGCTGTTTATATATTGTAACCACCATAGTAAACACATAAACACACTCTGTTAACCTTTTGTCAAAATTGTTGAGTGTTAAATTTCCCACACCACTAATATTGCTGCAATGTTTGTACATTTGTGCATTTGTAGAACTTAACAAAATAGCACTGTAACATGTTATTCACATTTTAGGTTAAATGAAAAGCTATAAACTAACCTGTAAGGTGAAACAAATGGATGCTTAAACAGCCCCTTGTTTATGTCCATCTGCCTGGCTTTCCTGCGGTGAACTGTTTTGGATTGTTTAGAGAGAGGAAGGCAGTTCCAGCTATTTTATTAATGTGTCAAGTTTGTCTGGTCACATGTATTTGAATAAATGTTGTGGGTTGCGCTGAGGGTGCGTTTAATTTTATAGTGTGAAAAACACATGAAAAAACAAATGTTTCTTATATGTGGTATTTAGTTGTAGCTTTTTGACTGGTTCTGAATTGATCCAAAACGTAATGAAAGACAAGGAAGGTGGTGCTGTGTTTGAGCAATCAGACAGGAGGTCAGAAGTCCAAATTTTCTGTGTTGCTAACTTGGTTGTGGTGCAGCCACTGTGGTTTAGTTAAGCTGCTTGCAAGCAGGCCCAGCCATATATACATTTTTCTTTTGCTTATTTGGGGCATACTCCCCAAATGATTGTTTAAATTAATGTGTCTTAATATTGCAATAAATAATGTGTTTAATGTGATTAATATGACAAGCTAGGTCTCAGCTTAAAATAAGCAGTATATTGTATTCCCATGACAATGGAATAATATGTACAATATCAAAAATTAAGCTCACATTTTTTATCACACAGAAAGCAATGCCAAGTACAAGAACCCTACATAGAAATAGAGAAAGTAGAACAGTAAAAGAAAATTAGGTATTCTATTTTCTGCAACAGTGGGGCAATAACCAGCCTTACATCGTACCATACATGGTCCATCATAGTATTAAAACTTACCATAGAAGTTGCCAGTACAACCCAGTTCTGAGGTCAAAAGAGTTCATGTGATAATAGGACAAAAACTCAGACAGGTTCTCAGTTTCCACCTCAAGACAATCAAGAAAATATACTGCCTGGACAAAAAAAGGTCACCATCTGGATTTAACTAAGCAAATAGGTAAGAGCCTCCCATTGGATAATTACTTCATGGGTGATTATGTTTCAGCTGGCAACAAGTTATTTAACCCTAACTGATGCAGTGAGTAGCTTCTTATTTGTTAAACAACCATGTCGAAAGACACATCCTGTGGTCGTGGAAAAGATGTTAATCTGTTTCAAAAGGGTCAAATTATTGGCATGCATCAAGCAGAGAAAACATCGAAGGAGATTGCTGAAACTACTAAAATCGGGTTAAGAACTGTCCAACGCAGTGGAAGTGGAAGGACAGTGGGGAAACATCATCTTCGAGGAAGGAATGTGGTCGGAAAAAAATCTTGAATGATCGTGATCAGCGATCACTTAAACGTTTGGTGAAATCAAATTGTAGAAAAACAACAGTAGAACTCAAGGGATTGGGACTAAACAGCTGTGTAGCCTTAAGAAAACCACTTATCAGTGAGGCTAACCGGCAAAAACGGCTTCACTTTGCTAAGGAGCATAAAGATTGGAGCAATGGAAGAAGGTCATGTGGTCTGATGAGTCCAGATTTACCCTGTTCCAGAGTGATGGGCACATCAGGATAAGAAGAGAGGTGGCTGAAGTGATGCACCCATCATGCCTAGTGCCTACCTTACAAGCCTGTGGGGGCAGAGCTATGATCTGGGGTTGCTGCAGTTGGTCAGGTCTAGGTTCAGCAACGTTATGTGCCCAAAGAATGAGGTCAGCTGACTACCTGAATATACTGAACAACCAGGTTATTCCATCAATGGATTTTTTCTTCCCTGACGGCACAGCATATTCCAAGATGACAATGCCAGGATTCATCAGGCTCAAATTGTGAAAGAGTGGTTCAGGGAGCATGAGACATCATTTGCCACCACAGTCCAGACCTGAACCCCATTGAGAATCTTTGGGATGTGCTGGAGAAGACTTTGCGCAGTGGTCCAAATCTCCCATCATCAATACAAGATCTTGGGGAAAAATTAATGCAATTCTGGACAGAAATAAATGTGACATTGCAGAGGCTTGTGGAAACGATGCCACAGCGAATGCGTGCCGTAATCAAAGCTAAAGGCGATCCAACAAAATATTAGAGTGTGTGACCTTATCTTATACACCAGGCAGTGTATAAGACAATTCAAGGCCTTGGACCCTACCAAGAGAAACTGCGATGCATAAACATCATGTTTCCTGACTAAACTTTTCCAATGACATTGAACCTAGTTACACAAGTTAATTATTACATTTATGAGCTAATCCTAGTCACATGATTGCTTTGTAGCTTTTACTGGAAATGATAAGCATAGTTTATCTAATTTTCATATAATTTGCACAAAGGAATAACTGTAGTCCAAGCCTATGACAATAGATTTGTACTTACACTCTTTCACTGAATGGAGTGACATTATTTAAGCTTTTTGAAAATTATCTTTAGGGAGGATATTTTTAAACACATTGTGTTTCTGTGTGTATGGGCACCATGCAGATTTTTGAACATGTTGACATCACACCGTTTACTCGTGCATATATTTTTTTTTTCTCTGAGCCTGCAAAACTATGAACTGCTCATACTCCAAAGCATACCACCTCATCTGTCAAGCATGGTGGAGGTAATGTTACGGCATGTGTGACTGCCAATATGCCTGTATATTTAGTGATTGATTGAAGATCAGCGTTCTAGGGTGTCAGTTAGTGTTTTGATTAAGAGTATTTGAAAAGACTGATCTTGTATAGCAGTCTAGTGTGTGCTCTCAGTGATGCGTGTGCTAATTGTGCACATGTACACATACCTTGTGGGAGGTGAAAAAGATTATGAACTGGCGGCCTATTTAAATGTATATGATTTATATGAACAGGCCAATCAACATTTTCAGAGGGGGCTAACGAGGTGCTGAACAATAGCACCCCCCCGACACCGCGCCTGGTTTCCATTGTATTGTGGCCAATCAAAATGATTCCTGATATTTTGTGT